GGACTGGATGCCTCGGCCAGCTTCTCAAGGAATGCTTGCGCTTTGTGCCCTTTTTTTCTTCACAAATTCGGAACATTGCCGTCTGCATATTTCAGTTTGACAGATTTCTCCCCCTCTCGGGTGAATCTGAACAGGCTTTCTTACAACCTGATAGGTCCGTTTTAATTCCGGTTAGCTCTTCAGGATAAAAAGGTGGTTACTGAAATACACTCATTTGCAAACAAATCGAGAGATTTACCTTACCAACATCGTTAACGAGAGATTCTGCTGTGTTCCAGGTGGATCTTTTGAAAACAGACTGATTTTACGATTATGTTGTGTGGATCCGGTACTGAAGCGCCGATGTTCTCACCTGGTGTCGATGATCTTTGAATGCTACTCACAGGGACAACACCTTATCAAATCCGTTTGAGAACTCGTCGCTCGACGATCGTGCCATACCACATGACGTGAATTGCGTGGGAGAGCGATGACTGATGACTGTTAGTCAGCCACTCAAAACTGAATGATACAGCTTCGCAACGGCTATTCGAAGGGCTGCGTATTCGAATCCCTCTCTACAGGTGACAGCAACGAAGCACTCATTGTAGTGCGATGAAGTCAGGCATGCGAGCAAATAATCCAACGGTTACAAGTTGTGCGGCACGTCTCGTTAGACGTTCATCTGTGCGGATTGACCTGTCTTTAAGGCTGAGCTTTCCAAACCCGACAGGTGGAGTGATTTTGATGAATTTTCGAATCTGACAGAACCTCGGTTGGGGGGCGGGTGTTGACCATTGCATCCACATCGATGATGATGAGATTCGGGTTGTTTGGATGAACGGAGATCGACATACGCTATTGTCTTTTACTAACATAATATTCGCCGCAGAGGCCGGATGCGGGCTTTGAGGTCATTGTGCTAACACCCCCGATACTCGTCCTCTTTTTTCTTATCGGCAGCGTCTGACCGCCACCCTGTCTGAACTGAAACAGTGTCAGGCCAACATTGGTCAACTCCGCGGACAAATGGACCAGATGCTGGAGGTGAACGCACAAAGCAGTCGATCTCAAGCACAGCTTGGTAAGTGATGCTCACGGAAATAGCTTGACTGCGTTGATACATAATTACGTAGGGCCACCGATAACGAACCTTTTGGCGCCTGATAGTCAAGGTCACTTTTTGATCTGTGTAAATTATTACTGCTCACCTAGCCAAGCTAAACTTTGTCTTGTGGGTGGGAGAGGCGTTGAATACATTTGGTTATCATGGCCTTGGTCATGTGACGTAAGGCCATTCTCTAGGAGAAGGACGCAGGTTTAAAAGACATCCCGAATAGCAGAATGATTCTGAAAACCATCGAATAGCATGACATTTTGTACGGGAGGTATCTTCAGTACCGCGTGCCATGTGTTCGAGAATGAAAGTCTGGTTTTCGCACAGCCAGGTGCAGACTGAAAGACGGCAAGGGGGGTGGCGAGAGCCCACTCAATTGGGTCTGAGGATTTATCCATCCTGGCACATTGAGTACTGTTCGCAACACAACAGGGCTCCACGGATATCGGAAACTGTTCGTATGCCAATTTAATGGCACCTGGGGTCTATTTTCTCTTCTTAACGTTGTTACACCTGGCCAAATTCACCTGATCTGGAGCTTCACCAATGGGTTTCATGCACACACCTTCTCTCGTAAAGGGAAACAGTATCCCTGGAAGTTCGAAATTCTTGGTTTGTCATGGCATACCCTGGTTACTGAGTTTCCCGTGACTTGGTATTTCAGGTGCTGCTGAGGCTGCTCATATTACAAACATGTGTTCAAAATTCATTGAAGTGTAAAGTCGATTTTTGTTTTCCTCTTGTACGCACTAGTCAACCGCGGAATTGACGCAGTGAATGTTTACTTTAATGAACCACTGAACATTTTGTAATGTACTACTCATAAGGTTGCTGAAAACTCGTCGACAGCTCACGACCGGTTTCGCCCTTCCACTTCGGGCTCATCAGGTAGGTGCAGTCCCCGATTTTCCGTCAACCTTATGTTCTACTTGAAACCAGATGGCACGAAATTAGCGAAGTATACTCATTTGTGAACTAATTTGGTTTTTCGAGAGACTCACCTGGAACCCAACTGAATCTCTCGAAGAACCAAATTAGTTTGCAAATGAGTGAACCACTGAACAGTTTTCATAAAGGGCATTAGGCGAGTTAGAAAGACTCACTTTCACCCCTGTTCATGTTGCAACTGTCCACCTCGCGATGCGCTACCTCGCACTCTCTCTTCTCTGCACAGCTTTAAACGTATTCATCATGTTGCAATCCTTCAAGTGAGGAAGCTTCGTACATCTGTGCAGATCGGCTTGTAGCGCGTACCTTGACTCAGGTCACATAGTGCCAGAGTCACCCAGTGCTGGGGGCCCGACCGATAAAATCGATATCTGCGTAACCCTCAACTGTGTTCGGGTTATTCAGTTGAACTATTTGATAAAACACATGGTGAATGTCGTTTTCAGTCCGACGTTCCGGCGACCGAGGGTTACTTTTATCAAACCCGTGAACCCGACAACTCTTCATCTCACTAATTCCAGGATCCCAAACTTTTTATCAATAAATCGTACGTTGATTTCCACCTGCGTGTTAGCTTTGAGCTTGGCTCACCACTCTCTGTCTCTCTCCATCTTTTCCGCAGACCGTCAACAAGAGGAACTTGAACAGGCTCAGGCCGCACTTGATAAACAGCGGGAGGAAATTGCCCGTGTGAACATATTGCTCAGTAATTTGTTGGGCATCAATCCAGGTAGACACGCTTTTGTCCTTCACACACTCTCCTCTCTACCTAGAATCAGTGTTTATATATTTCATTCTGGTGACCCATTGTCAAAGCGTTTATGTTCTCAAACATGTTTTCTTGACAAAGAAACAAAGCCGACCGGGGGTTCCATCTTTCATTCGAAGTATCAACCGATTGGTTAGTTCTTATTTTCCTTTATTGGCGACGGGTGGAGCGACCAACTGGGCAACCAGAACATGATTCAAGTGAGGCTACTCAAATCGACTGGTGGATCACGTAAATTTGTTTCTGTGGAACCAGCTATCCACAGCTTTCCGGTAAAGAATTCCTGGACTTCGGATGCCTACATCCCCTCAACTAGGGGGGAAACAGTTCGAAGACAGCCGAAGATCACGACAACGCTCTCCGTCGTCGAAAAATCAGTTCGCTTCCTCCTCTGAATGGAGTTTAAAAAGATTAGGGACATTTGAACTCTTCCGGTGTTAACAGCCTATGAGGCAGGGCACAAACTGGTTCATGGCTGATGAAGAACGCGGTTGTAATCCCTTCAAGCGAGGAGTCACTCCTTTGAATAGCTTCAGAAAGTTTTTGTTAGGCTTTATCCAATCCTTTTAAACAGTTATTTGTATTGCAATACGAGCCGAATCCTCTCATTGAAGCATTTGGGATTTGTTGTGCACAGCAGTTTCCTTAATGCCTTCTTAATGCCGTGAACCCTAGTCTGGATAGTCGCTTGATAGCCTGGTTCCATTGGCCAAACCAGAAAGCCAATGAACGTGCGAATCAGCTGATCGATTTATTGAACACTAACACGTACGGGCGTGTCATGTGCAACCGAAAATGGACTGATTATGAAGCTCACGTGGAAAGCTCTAGGCGGGCTAAAAAATAGAGTTTATTCGTCAAGGACAATTGGAAAACCACTAATGAAATCTGTCTCAACGAAAACGGCTATTCCATTGGCGGCTGAGTTGTCCAGTTACGTTCCGAGCTGGTTCTCCTAATAGTGTGAGAGGGTTCGCAAAAACAGTTGCTCGGCTTATTCGTCTTTTCTGGTGCACGTTGAGATCCGAAATCACACTGCATCCTTTTTTTAATGTTCGATTACAGCCGACGTTTCACAAGGCGATTTACAGCAGGTCCAGGCAGGTCTGTTTGAGCTGAATCGCCAGGTGCATCTGGACCCCGGCCCGGGGTGTCATCCAAATGCGGGTACGCTTGACTTGTTGTTTCCTCATCCACATCCGTTTTTCGTTCCTTTTGTGTGGCCAAAGTATGCTACAGTGTGAACACCCGTGACCTTATACTTTATCCAGAGGTTGGTTGAGATCAGAGGGATACGTTTCAGTAGGAATGGCTTCATCTGTTATTTCATCCGAACAGATCGATATCTGTGGAGAGTTTACATTTCTTGGGGACGGTCGGTAGGTGGGGCCAGTTTAGTCAAGTTTATTGTAGCAGCATTGATAAACGAACCGTCCTGAAAACAAAACAAAGCAAGTTGGCTACTTCTGGTGGAACAAGTTCAAAACATACACTATTTGGTTGTCCTCGAAGATGACTGTATGGACCAGGCCGGGGGGGAGTTCATTCAATCCCCACTGAGAACGATGCATCTTCTTGTGGACTTTCCTCGTCCTCCCACCAATCCTGTATGCATTGGACAGATGTGTGAAAAACCACCCGCTGTTTGGACAAAAGTACAACAAAAGCCCAAGCGTTTTTCTCTTCTCTGTCTTCCATTGAGAAAACAGTATGTTAGCAAGGTCGACGTTTTCCCAAGGGGAAACGGTTGAACCATCTTGTGAAAAACTTGTGTCGAACAGGTGTGTAATTAGTAAAGTATTTCTCTGGGTGGCGTGAGAACCAGTTCAAGGTCAACAGGGAGGATAATACGACTATTTTAACCAGTACTTTCAGCAGGGTTTTCAACAATACGAGGCCAACTCTATTAGATTTATTCCAACATTCAAAGAGCTGCTCAACCCCAGGCCAGGAAAAGAAATCGATTCCCACATCTGGCGAAATGCGCCCACTCGCGGATCATCACAAACGGGAGATTCAGCTGGATTCAATCAAGTCTCTTGTGAGAACAAAATTAATGTGCGAATGAGAATATCCATCGAAATCTGTCCAAGTCTGGTTCAAGTTGAACGTAAGGTTGGGAGAAACCGGGCAACTGCGCCAACCTGGTGAGCCCAAAAAAGGGCAAACCAGGTTGTGGGCTGCCAACGATCTTTGTAATGTACTACTCATAAGGCTGCTGAAAATTCGCCGACAGCCCACGACTGGGTTCGCCGTTCTTGGGGCTCATCAGGTTGGCGCCGACCCCAAGCTTCCGTCAACCTTGGGTTCTACTTGAAACCAAATTGCACAAAATTAGCGAAATACACTCAGTTGAAAACTAATTTGGTCTTGCGAAAGACTCACTTGGAACCCAGCTCAATCTCTCGTTCGTGATGTCTCCAGGCAACTGAATGTGCTGCACCAGACCGCCTCAGGTTTCAATTGCTACGATATTCGAACTTTTTAGCAGTCCTATAAGTAGTTTGTTGTGTTTAGTAGTATATTTTTCACAGCGTGGGCATCAATCTAGGGTCAGTAGAGAATAATACAGCAGTGACTATTTGTAAAATTGTTCAGCTAAGTTCTAAAAAATATGAGGCCTACTCTGTTTGGTTCCGATTTTGAATTGGCCCTAAAAATCAATATACAGACGTGACCAAGTGTTAGCTGGTGCAGATCACGAAGATAACTTTGTTTTTCGTAGCGATTTGCAGAACACAGACGTGACCAAGTGTTAGCTGGTGCAGGTCACGATTTGCAGAGCAGTGATGGCCCAAGTGGCTAGAGCGCAAATTTACTGACCAGAAGGTCCGTGGTTCGAGCCCGACCTCTGCCTCTCGACTTCTCCTGTCTAGGCCTGGGCGACCTGGCAGTATCCCAGCCCTCGTGCTTTCTTCGGGTAGCATGGCAGCTAGGCACCGGACGGGTGTTACAGCTGAAATATTTTTTTACAACCCCATGATGAGGCCGGTAACACAACAGTCCCAAAAAATCTGGCAAACTACGGTTAGGGAACTCAATGGAGTTTCAGCCGAATCTCCCGGTTGTCCTCTTCCTCAACCCAAATGTGCTGCACAAGGGTTGACGCATGTCTCCGTTGGTATGATGTTCGACACATCAAAGTCACTTGACAGCGCATCCTAGTCATTAGTTTCCTGAAAACTCCTCGTCCCCCTTAGGGCTCATCTGGGAGGCATATTCCTTATCAGCCTTTTGTTCTACTTGAACACCGAATTGTACGCAGTTGTTCAAGGACAATAATTTGCCGATGAGAGTGTGTTTCACAACGTTGGCCTTCCGGTGGAACGTATGCCTGACTGAATCTCGGGGGCCGAACCTACCTGGTGATCCCGAAGATGGATGAAACCGGTCGTGCGCGCTTTCGAATTGTTTCCAGCAACCTTGTGAGTTGAGAATGTGAGTGCGAGAATGTTCGGACATCTGTTAAACTCCATCATTAATAGTTGCAATATGAAAGTCGTCTGAATTTCAGTTATGAATCCCAATCAAGGTGATCCCAAATGTGTTGTCGGCCAGGCTCATTCAGATTGAGCCAGTTGTTCATTTTCTTCTCTGACGGTGAGATTCTAACTTCTGGTTAGTTCAGGAACCTAGAGGGAGGCAAAAGGATAGCCTTGTCCGATACCGAGTGACCTGGAACACTGCATCGTGTTCGAGTGGTCGATCCTGCGGAACGGGTCACCGACCTGTTTCGTTCTAACTTGGGCGAACCATAGGGTACAACATGGTTAAAGGTACTTCTAATGTTGAATTTCCCATCTGAAACATGAAACACACAGTGGGTCATTCTAGACGGAATGATCTCTCCAAGGTGGGTATTCATGCTAGGAGGCAGCGGTCTTCTCTTTTCCAGTCTCACGGTGTAGTTAAACGATTCCATATTTCTTCCATTCCTCCGCATATACAGTACGACGTACCCAGTCAATGCACACCGGTCTTAACGGTCCGAAAGAACGTCCGAGCAATGTGGCACCGAACGTGTTTTCAGCCAGTGGACCGGGACTTAACCGTGCCGTATCCGGTCAGTTTTATTGCACCGTCCCGGAGCACCACTACCTGGAAGACTGCCTGGAACAGTTACAATCTCAGATGGCCGAACTTGAACTGACTCAAGGCGAACAACAGGTAAGTCCACGAACTGATTAGAATTCAGGCCAGTGGGGAATTCCCTCAGCAGCAGCGATAACAACGCCTTCCGTTGTCATAACAATCGTTTGCATGAGTAATAACCCCATTTTTTTGTCCATTTTGATACACTGGGTTGACACCCTTTTTCTATCTTTTGGTGTGAACTGCATTCACTAGGGTGGATCAAATCGTGTCTACTCACTACTGTTGCTAGGTGTTTCTTAATGTTGTCTGTTGTAGAGGACACTGGTCCATTGTCTGATTGTATTTGTAACACTCTGTTTATTGCTCATCTCGTTAGCTGTCAGGTCTGAGAGAAAAACGAGTATCCGGTCTACCTGATCCTCTTTCCTTACCAATGCACTGTTGATTTAAACTCTCCCTTATTTGTCTGCTGCTTGCTGCACGCAATTTTTTGGTCTCTCCTGCTTCAGACCATTATAGCCCCTTCTCAGTGGAATTCTATTCTTTCCTATTCTACACTGTTTTGAGGGATCGTTTTTTCTCAGCCCGTCTACTTGCCCTATGTTTACATGAAAATGCCATGGGTGTCTCTCCATTCGAAGTCGTCCACACCTGATGGACTTTGATAAAGCTTCTTCAACTGTAAGTCCCATGGAGGTTGGATGTTTGTTCCTCTTGGAGCATTGGACGCAAACCGATAATCAGTAGTAGTCGCAGAACTCGAGATGGCTCAGTGGTTGAAACGCGAAGGTCCGTGGTTCTGTCAGGGCTTCCTTTAGTTGTCACGACAAACAGACACCGAAAGGGTGCCCCAAACCAATCTACCCTCACGGTCCATGTGGTCATCTGGGTAAGAGAAGCGAATTTTCGTGCCCGAATCTAAACAACGGGCGTAAATTATGGCAAATGAGCTGTGTGCTTTAAACGCGAATTATGAGTGCAAAGTCGTTTTTTCCAAAAGTTTTGTAACTTTTAGCTAAATACACTCATTTGCAAACCTGGGACCCTGATGAATCTCTTGTTTATGATGTTTTTGACCAATGTGGGTTCGACTGGAACATAAGTCTGACGGAAACTCGGTGGCTGTGCCTACTTGATGAGCCCCAAGAAGGGCGAAACTGTTCGTGGGCTGTCGAAGAGTTTTCAGTAGCTATATGAGTAGTATATTACTGTAATTTTTGTATGGTCTTTCTCAAAGCGGTCAAACTGACTTTCCGTCTTAACAAGAGTAACTGGTGCTTTGAATGCGGGAGTCGAACCAGGACTTCTGCTCTGGTCCGAAGCAAGAATCACAGCTTTTGAACTTTATTCAGCGGGGAGTGTATCCACCCATCGACTCTCAGTTTCGTCACACATAAACCTTACGTTGAACGTGATAAGATAGGTGGTCGAACCCGTACTGTGGATGCGTTCTTACCCGGACACTCTGTATGACGCCTGTCTTACGATACTCGATTGACGCTAATTGCTGATTTTTGCGAATGCGTCAACCGCACGTAGTTAGCTATCTTTTGCGTGGATATCGGTTGATTAATTTGTCGTAACTGTTCTTGTTTTTTCTCTGTTGATACACAGAAGAAACTCCGCCACGCGACGAAGGCAAAGAAAAAGCTGGAAAAACAAGTCGAGGTGAGTGATCCCGCACGTGTCTGTTGGTGCCGTCCGCTGTGCCGTCCATCGTGGTTACCAGAGGACCTGACAAATAGACTGCACCTTAACTTATTGTGACAGTTTGTGTGCCCCCGTCACGCATAGTGGAGTGAGGGCGGGTGTGTGTGTTGCAGAGTCTCCCTTATCAGGTTGGTTGGCGGTTAGAAGCCTCCTGACCCTTCAGGTTGGGTACTGTTTGGCAACTGGTTGTCTAATTGACATCTCCCTTGCACACGCCGCCTTTTGAGGCAAGAATGGAGCTCCCAAAACGCCCTCCTGTCTAGGTCTGCATGCCCTGGCAGTATCCCAGCCACTCGTATGGCCGTGATGTGTGCAACAGCGGCGATGAACACTGGTGTTACGCCTCCGATGCTAGTGATGATGCGGGCGCCAGTGCTCACTACCAGAACCGCACTCACCTTAGACGAGTTTGCCTCGTCTTTTTCGACCTCTGTTCATGTACCAAATCCGGGGGGCTCTCCGGAAGAGAACATTGTCCGGGCAAAACACTCCCCCCACCTGACCAGTCGCGTGGATTATTTCGAGACAGTTTTGGATATGACTAGGTTGAATGATTCGTTCGGTGCCTAGCTGCCATGCCACACGAAGGAGACACGGGGCTGGGATACTGCCAGGGGAAGCCGAGAGGCGGAGGTCAGGTTCGAACCACGGACCTTCCGGTCACTGAATTCGCGCTCCAACCACTCGGGCCATCTCTCTCCAGGTTGAATGATTGCAGCCAACCCATTGCCGGTTTCGCTCTCTTTGAAGTTCATCCAGTGGTAGGTGTCGTTTTGGAATTTATCACTTTGGCGCAAGTTTGGCTGTAAGTTGATTTTCAAACTCATTCGTGGATCCGTGCCTCTCTGGAGATCCTCGTACCTAATGTCTCCCATAGATAGTCTTTCAAATGAAACTAACCACAACAGCTGAGTGGAAATATTCACTCAGCGGCAGCATTAGGATGAGTTTTGACAAATACTCTCATTTGCCCACGGATTGGCTCTTGTCAGGAGACTCGGCTGAATCCGGCGGAATAGAGGAGTTTTCAGCAACCATGTGAGTAGTGTGTTCTGTCAAGAAAAAACAAACTGGCGTTTCTCAACCAAGTGAATTATCATAGTCTTTGAATGTTTGGTGAGCGCCACACAAAGTGAAATTGTTTTTAGGGCCCTGTTTGCGATTGTGGCACAATCATTCCATCATCTCAAAGTCAAGGTATAAGGCGGAATTCCACACGGATCCCGCTTTGCCGCTCGCAGTCAGGTGCTGCTACGGCCGAGAAGTCCATCCCACGCCAGATTGGCCAAGCATTCCGGACGCTTGCCAGTCCGGAATAAAGCCGAGATCTGATTGGTCGAAAGTCTGGACCCAACGGCCAATCATGACTCAGTATTGGCCGAATGCCTGTTGCAAATGGCGCATCCAAAACGCGTCAGAATTTTCAGAAAGTTATTGCCGCCTACGCTATATATATGAAGCGTTGTACAAATGTTCCTGACTACGTTTTGGGCGTTGAGGTACCTTTGGTGGCTGTTTTGACGTGAACGCTAGCTTGGGGGGCTTAGACCGAGAACTATGCTGAGAAAAATACCGTTACTACACAAGGACATCGTGTCGATTGGAGCTTCAAGAATACGTTGTCCAATGCTGGCAATTATGAATGCAGATATATTCTGAAGTAGGAACCGTGGTCTTCACTCAACCATCTATCTGATGGGGGCGACCGTGGTCCCAGCAACGAAGGATCGAAATCCCTACCAGTCAGCTCAGTCCCGTTGATCAATGTCATCCCTCCGAATTGGGACACTGGGACGAGACTAGCCAGTGGTTAGAGACCTGACAGATATGGCTGTGTCACGCAGCCAATGCCGGTCGTTTATTAAAACTATCTTGTTCATTGCGTGGAACCCTCACTCCCTGCCGTTTCTATCAAACGAAACAAGTTAAGATCAATGAACTGGGTGGACTATCTCCTTCCCCCTCTTCGGTGAACGAGACCGTAATAGCTGGAAACCCTGAATTTCGGAACAAGGTTTCTAGCTGTACCAAACTGTACTCGCGTGGACGATTATGGATTGGTGTTTTCGTCCCAAGCTCGAAACCAAAGCCACCTGTCGTTCGGTTCCTATCGGTGCATGCCCCGGGAGCTTGATTTTACTGTTCTCCCAATATCTAAGAGGTGATATATGTACAGGAATACATAAATATCTAATAACGATCGTCCACCGTTTGATCTGCTTTAATGCACTAAAATGTCTCTTAGTTTTTTGACGAAACGTTTGAAAGCCAATTACCAAGCTCGGCGAACAGATCAACAGCCACCTGATCAACAACCAATAATTCAACAGTTTTGAGTCCGGATCGCCAGGAGCCTCAACAACTGTTCAGATTCGCCTATTTCGTCATGTAATTTGTTTGTAATTCGAGTATTTCATTGGTATATTAATTAAGTACCGTTTATCAGTCACCTTCACGGTACTTCGGGCTTGCTATCCTCTGTTTCTGGTGCTCGGCATATCTGTCATGTCACCCTGATGAAATAGGTTATATCCACGGGATCTCTGAAAACCTACAACCCTGTTATGACTACTCATTAGTAGTGTAGGACATGAAAAAATATGATGCTTGTGAAAGTGGAAATTCAAAAGATGTCCTGCCGGTGTGGTGCTAGCCGATCGAAAAGTGTTGATAGGCGAGTGCTTGTCTCTCACAACCAACATGGTTACTTGGTCTTCATCTGTGGGGGTGAGATGGCTCAAGTGGTTGGAGCATGAATTTACTGATCGGAAGGTCTGTGGTTCGAATCCGACCTCTGCCTCTCGACTTCTCCTGTCTAGGCTTTGGCAACCTGGCAGTATTCCAACCCTTGTGCTTTATTTGGGTGGCATGGCACCTGGGCACCGATAGGGTGTTACAGCTGAACGGGTTATCTGTGGCACAGGCTAAAACCCACACACGTTGCCCAGGCACCAACACACGCTCATGTTGACGCGTCTTAGTTCAGAAACGTTGAATACTTGATTACTGTGTCACGTGCTAATTTACCGATGCCCCGATCACCGTCCGACCGAGCGGTGCATTGCTTCTGAGTTTTACTAACAATTGGACTCGAGCCCGGTGCTCCTTTCTTGCTTTGAACCAAACAAGGGGAGTGTTCAAGCACATCCAAACACGAACATCACGTCTGTTGTTGGATCCCATTGTTGATGCCTCGATTTAATATTATTTTGACAATTCTTCGTAGCGTTAGCACTCAAAGCGGAGATCAGGTCCCGTCTCCCAACGCCGGAAAACATGCATAGCTCCCACGATACCCAACAGCCAATAGGCTCTTGAGTTGAAGGTGAAGCTCTCAACCAATCAAATTCATCCATTCACTTCCTGCCCACTTCCGTTCATTTTGCTCACCCATCCAACAGTATCACTCGGCGGAAGTAGAACGCTTGAATGCAGAAGCTGTGGCCAGACAGGAAGAGCTTGCAAAAACATCGGAAGATTTGAAGCGTCTGTTGGAAGAAAAGGAGTAAGTATCATGAAATACACTTATATGCGAGCAAATTTGGCCTTGTGAGAGGAACGACTGGAACACACTTGAGTCTCCCGTTTATGGTGTTTCTAGGCAACTGAATGTGCTGCACCAGGCCGCCTCAGCTTTCAGTTGGTACTATATTCGATATATCGCGATACATATATGGACGTAATGTACTACTCATAAGGTTGCTGAAAATGTCCCGACCGCCCACGACCGGTTTCGCCCTTCTTGGGGCTCATCAGGTAGTCGAAGAATTTTCAGCAACCTTATGAGTTGAGTAAGTTTCACGTTTGCGGTATGAAACACATCAAGTTTTATGGGAAACCATGCGTTTCCAAAACAAACCATCCTAGATGAGGCGCTTGTCTGGTCGTTGGGTTTTTCCAGTCTTTAGAGGCTTTCACCTCTGCTGCTATGCTCCTCGATGCGTTTGCTTACTGTTGTGTTTTGAACTCTTTTTGTGACTTACAGAGCATGTGGGGATTCCCATTTCTTGGAGCAAGTGTGTGCCAGCCAAAACTTTTATCCTGCATTCATTTCATTCATTGTTATTGCGACGTTTCCCCTTGTCAGGTGTGTTATTCGGCATGCTATGCCATCCCCGTCGCCAATCTGTTATATCTGCTGATTCACCAATCTGTTGTATCTGACTGCTGACCCGCCCCAGTGCCTAGTACCGTGGAAAGGGTCACAGAATTGATCACAACAGCTATATTCCGAACAAGCGAGTACGAGTGCGAGAGTACAACGGTCTCAAGCTATTTATGGGAGGGACACTGTCTGACTTGGTCCGGTGCTGACGCATGTGGTCTGGCTTTGGTGCGAGGCCGCGACGCGCTGCATATTGCGGGGGCGCTGTCTGACCTTGATCAATGCTGACTTGCGCTGTCTGGGTTTGATGCAAGTTTGTGAAGCGCTGAATGTTGCGGGGGCGTTGTCTGTCTAGTCAACATCTAGCGGAACTGAGAGTCTCAGTAGATTTCGGGCATTCAGTGATTGCTTCCAGGAATCTTGCCTTCCTGATACTCTGTCCCGAAAGCTGGGGGCTCCCTATCACAGTCGACCTCTCATTCCGTCTAATTGGCTACATCAGCGGTCCTGACATATAGTCTGTCTGACATATAGTCGGGGTTTTATGGCTGGCTGTCGTTACGAATCCCACAGTATTTGGCCATGTGTTCTGCTGTGCTCACCCACTGGTGCGCCTAGGCAGTTGGTCCCATTCTTTCGAGTACGATACGTTGTATTGACGTCGACATCCTTTATGTTCTAACTTCTTGTTCTAGCGACACTCAGCGCCAACAGCAGCGCCAGCTAATGACCATGGCTTCCGAACTGTCGACCGTGGAGAACACCATCGCCGGCCGCCGAAGTGACTTGGCCAAGTTGGAAGACCTCGTCAGAACCATGGAAACGGAACTCCGCACGCAACAAGCCCAGGTATTCCGCCTGAAGAATTTTCACTGAGGTTGTCTGTTTGCCATTCTTAATTCCGCTATTGCGAAACTGGAAAAAAACTGTCGTTTGAGGGGAGCAGCGATCAGGATCTCACGTTCACAGAACTGAATGGTGGCCACATGATTGTGTGCAATATCTTTGGGGAAAAATCCCACCATTTGGACGTCACGATGTACGAACCAGAAGTGTTTTGGCTGAGAGAATACGGGATTATGCTCAAAATGTCTTCAAAACCATTGGTTCTACCACCCCATTGGAGTTTATAGAGTATCAAAAAACGGGACAAACGAGGGTAGCACATCAAGGCAAGTCTTTGTGTGCATCGGAGCAGGATAACGCAATGAGCAAGCTTAGCTACAGCTTGCCCGACTCATGTGTGGTGAACGTGTATGCTGCTATGATTGGGTACCGTTTGTTTCGCAAAACGCGATGAGTTGAGGCTACTTAGCAATTTTCGACTTTCTCTCGTGAAAACCAAATTGATTTGCAAATTAGTGTATTTCTCGAAAACAGTCCAATTTGGGTTCAAGTAGATCATAAGGTTGACGGAAACTCGGGGACTACGCCTACCTGATGAGCCCCAAGGAAGGCGAAACCGGTCGTGGGCCGTCGAAGAGTAGTCAGTCACCTTGTGAGTAGCTTCCTTTATGAAAAGGTATTCAGCTTGTTTGCCAAGCAAGTAACTACTTACCGGTTGCTCAATGTAGCTCGTTAGGGTACTACGTGCCGAGGGCAATGGTTGAGCAACTGTTACCAACGTTCACACAAATAGGTGCCGTGGACTGGTGGACCGACAGGTAAGACACTTGTGGACAGAACTCATCGTCAGAGACAGCGAAGTCAGTGGTGAGACGCTGTACAGTCACAAGTTTATTTTATTGTACTTGAAGTCCTAAAGTCAAAAGGAAACAAACGGCTGGGCGAGGGACAGACCTAGGTCTAACGTATCACAAAAATCCGAGGTGTCTATACCTCCAACACGTGCAGACACGCTGGAAAGAAAGTGACAGCACGAGCGCCACTGACGTGACTAAACGCACGCAGAGGAGCCACTGAACACAATCCTGGAAGGGTGACCGCACCAAAAACACGCAAACTCTTTGTAATCTGTTTCACATCCTTCTGCTAATCCAGGCCCAGCTAGTCGCGAAGCACGACCGCACCAAGCATTTCTTGTAATACCCTTTCCGCGCGCATCCTCCTCGGACGATGAACTGTTTTCTTTTCTCCCTTCAAGCTTAAAGATGCTACAGCGAAATTCGCGGAGGCCAAATCCGAGCAAGAGCGAGCGTCCGCGCAACTGGCAAATGTGAACGCTGAGCTGTCGAAAGCCAGGGAACAACTGTCCCAATACCAGGCAGACCTCGTCCGTTCCAAGACCGAGGTAAGCATGTTTCTTCTAGGTCATTCTCCTCTGGATCGATTGATTGTGTCATCGAACTATCTGGTCAACATCAGATCACGTGATAGGCTTCCACACCTTTAAGAGTTTGTCTGGTCAACATCAGATCACGTGATAGGCTTAAGAGTTGGTGCGCGCAGTTTTGGACATCGCCTGCGTGGCAAAGTTTACGATGCCGCAACCATTCATTCAAGAAACCTCACTGTATCGGGCATTCTAACATTAGACTATTCTTGACGCATGTTTCCTGCTCCCATGTGACCGCATGATGAACTGAGTGTTACTTGGCCTAACAAATTATTCCATCCTCCGTCATCACTCATCTTTCCTCCGTATTGTTCGGAATGTCTTCAGAGTGGGGCTTTCTTAAACGCAAAAAAAACGCTTCGGGTTCGTCATAGACCCGCTGGGCTTCCAACAAATCGGGGTTTATTTCTACAAATTAATCTCATGTATTTTTGTTCACGTAAGCTGTGTCCCCCCCCCCCGCCCCTTTATTTCAGGTGGAACAGACAGATGCGGAAAGACGTAAATTACAGTCCAAGGTGGAACAGCTGGAAAGGAACATTCAAACAAAAGAGGATGAATTGCACCGTTTATCCTCGTGTGTGAATGAAACTCAGACAAAGTGAGTAATTCAAGTTGATGCGTCTCGTGAGAACGCGAATAGGTGAGGTGGAATTCGAATGGGCAAACTTCCATCTTAGCGTATTGATGTTATGCAGACTTGTCCGTCGTTGGGGGGGGGGGAATGTTTTCAACAAACACATTACAAGGCAACACGATAGGCTGTAACTGTCCAAACCGGTTTCAAAACCAGTTATCTCAATTGACGGTCGACACAAGTCAAGGTCATCCAAACAACAAGGTTCATTTGTTTTAGTCAGGAGTGCAAGTAAGAAATCTCGGCACTGTAAACCAACAGCGGTCGCCTGAACCAAACATGAACTATTTACAACCGGGAGAATGCGAACTACCGACGCCGGGGTCGGAACGACATCCAGAAAGATTGATTGTAAAGTAATAAAAATGCAATTAACCAAGTTTCCAGGAACGAGTCAAAGTTTTTTCTTGGCCGATCTCCCGGGTCAAGGCAAGTTTGTTTGATGTATGGAACCAAACACTTGGCTTCATATAGCTAGTCAGGTCGTATTCATCACAATGAGTCAAAGAAGAAGTCCTCACAGCTGAAGATGCACTTTGGACTTCACGAGCGGATCACTAATATACGTTGAAATCACGGCATGAATTCTCAAAGGGTCGACGTCAAATCAAGCACTTTTCGGCCTACCGGAAACTACGTTTTTTTTACGTTAGCGTTGATGAATTTCCCAAATCGTTCCTGCTGTCTTAGACCTGAAAATTGGGGTCATTTGGCTTGACCATTTTTGTGTGATTAAACAATAAAACCTTACGTCTCGCATGTTCATCGGGACAACGATATTTTGTGGTCTTCAGCTACCCAGACATAATTCACAATACTTTGCGACAGCGTTAGTTAGGTACTGCCCAGCGACCCCATCCGCCATGCTTGACCTTGAGACAACCAATCGGATGGTTGCCAGTATTCCCCACTCTCTTATTGGTAGCTGTCAGCTCCTCTATAGAAGCTATGTTTCAGCGGCTGCCAGCGTCGACGAACTTGCTTACACGGAATCTCCTGGACCATGAAGTTCATTGTATCGTTCGTCCTGTGGCTGTTTGATCAACCCACGAAATACCGGTTGAGTCAGCTGATTGCAATCAGTTGAACTACATTGTGCCTGCTCTTTTCTCCTGATTGGACGAGCTGTGCTTGTTGTTTTGAGCACAAGTTGGAGCATAACTCGAGATGCTTTGATCTGCCGTTGAATTTTATTCAAGACAGTTTAGTTCCTCCTCCTAAAGTTTGATCCCCTCGGAGAATTTCAGCTTTCGCAGTTTCTGTTCGCAGAAGATTCTAGCGAACACGGAATATTTTGGGCGCCTACACATCAATGAATAAGATTTCGATTCATCTTGTTTAATTTGCCTTGTTGTTAGACGGAATCGTTCACCAAAACTGCTTTTCCTCTCGCAGTTAGGCGATGTTACGGCCAATAAGCACATCTCGGACGTGATTGGTCGAAGATCGGGCCGCTTGCTTGTCCAGCATCAAGTCCAGTCCTGATTGGTCGAAAATACGCACCCAGCAGCCAGTCATGGTTCAGTATCCACTGGATGTTGGTTCCCATGTCGCGTCTTGGTCGAAGATCGGGCCGCTTGCTTGTCCAGCATCAAGTCCAGTCCTGATTGGTCGAAAATACGCACCCAGCAGCCAGTCATGGTTCAGTATCCGCTGGATGTTGGTTCCCAATGTCGCGTCCAGGCATTCGAATTTCTAGAATGTTTTCGGTGCACATACCCCAAGTGCAGCTTGTTTTTAGGTGCTAGTTTGACTGAATCAGAACAAGACCTGAAGTTGATGCATTACCGTTAACAGACCTTTCATCTCCTGCGATCCAAGTTACCCACCTCTTGTGCTTGTAACGGTTGATAGACCAGGACAATCGTATCACGTTACTCCCTTGAGGATTCTTCAGTAACTTCCTTACTTTTGTGTCGTTTCTGACGAACGTGGCTTGAAGAAAAATATTACCTTTCCAAAAGCCTGGAATTCGCAAGTTATGCCATGTGTAATAGGATAAAACGCATTCAGTAATTGATTGTTGATCGGGTGGCGGTTGATCTGTTCAGCGAGCGTAGCAACCTGCTTACAAACGTTTTGTCGCCATTCGAGAAGGCATCGGTAACCGAACTTTGACGATGCACACTCGAATGAACTAGATGAACAGATCGACCATAACCCGAGCGACCGCCAGTTGACACTCGAGCTACTAATATTCCGACACATGGCGATTGTTTTTGTCACTTCAGTGGGGTCTCGGTTTGTACATGCTCATCAAAAGAACGTCTTCGTGCCTGACCGGGGCGGTGTTTAACAGCAGTCCACTTTTGCTCGTACTCCCATACCGTTTTCCTCAAATTTCCAAAACGCTACTCTTTCAGTCTATTTCGAGCCTTTCTCTATCGATTGAAGCATGCTCCTGCTGTAACAGCACCTGGTGGTCGGCTCAGTTAACTCTCTGGAATGACGTTTGAGGATTAAACCACTGAGCCCTCAGTTGTTATGCTCACGCCGAAAACGTTCGCCATTCTGGCGGCCCTGTGTTCTCCATCCTTCTAGCGTGGTTGCAGCCTAGTTACATTTGTATCCCACTTGTCATCACCTCTCTCTCGTTGTAGGCTTTCTCGTCTTGATAGTGATATCGTGTCCGGTGAACAACGTTTGCAAAACCAACAACGTCTACTGGCAGAACAGAAACTCAATGTTGAGGAGCAACAGGCCGAACTACGTCAACTTTCCCGGCAGGTGCGTTCTCAATCATTTTGTGACTGACATTTGATGCCCGTGGTTTTGATGAAACTAGATCTTTTCGAGATGAACTGGGGTTCTAATGGAATCAATACCATTCAGTGGGTAGTTGAGATCTTTCTAGGCCAGGGCTGAGCGTCAGGTGTGCTCTCTTTGTCTGCTTTTAGGGGATAGTCACAAACATCTTCACTCTTGAGCCTCTTCTAATGGCACTGGACTAGATTCACAATGCCTCGCCGAACAGATTATTCATAGAACTTGACAATGTGTACGCAAAATGGTTGTTTTTCGCGATGGAACCTTTCCTTTGCTTCGATCTAATTCGTTGAATGGTATTACCTAGAGCTTAGTAAGATGTGCGTTAATCCTGTTGACTTTATCTATCAGACAAGGTCAGTAACAAGTGACGAATTACGAATCTGTCAAGTCCATCAGTCATGCTGGACCGAGAAGACACTTTTTGGAGCTCAGAACCATCTGACCATAATCCCTCCGCAGTACCAACTAAGGGCTCTATAAGCGTCTAATTCTTCACTAGCCTGGACAACATCTTCTTTGATCTGAATTTACTAGTCTGCTAACTTCACGCGTGACTTGACTTGACTCAAACTAGTGTGGTGACTCTCAGCCAGGGGAAGAATTAATGTCCTGAGCTAGCGTGAGTGGAGTTCATGGGTCCAAATTTTCCCACTGGCACTGAGATTCTTAAGGCTCGCTGCAAAACATGCAAGATCGTTTTAAACATTAGGCCCGTTTTATCTACTTTCAGCCATGTGCTGAGCTGGGGAACAGTTCAGAAATTGTAATATACTACTGATTATCTACTGAAAACAGTCAACTGAGCCATGTACTCCCTTACTAGCCCGGTTGTCATTAGCGGGCATCTTCCTCGGACGATTATTAATGGACAACTCGATCACGCTGTTAAATTAACAATAATGGCCGTGGCTCAGGTCATTTAGAGTTCTTTGTAAGCGGGTAGGCGAAGCAGTTTTTTTTCTAGCACCTATTTGCCAGATATCCTGTCAACCGTAGCTCGTTTTCACGCAGTCATCCATACAAGATGAGGAGGTGAGTGAATCACGTGGCTGTTGTTCCGAATCCTAAAAGAACACACCACTTTTCAGTTTCGACATCCATCTATATATACCTTGTTCCCCCCGTCTACACTGTGCTATCCAATGCTCTCCGTCCCTCTATGAATGTCCCCTGTTTGTGCATCCCATTAAGTTGACCTGAAAACGAATACACCCCGTTAGCCCTGTTTTGTTTGTCCCAGCACTTTGACCAATGGTTGTGCACCGAACCTTCTTCTTGCATTTTGGGGTGACAGTTTTTACAGACAGGTTTGAAAGTGTGAAAGTGTTGGGGTCTCACTGCTGGGAGCGTTGGTGGTAATAGTGTATTGGCGACGGCGATCATTTTGAAGTTTGTGATGGCGGGATGGTCGTGGTGGTGGTGGTACGTTGGCCCAGCGTGGCCATTCTTCGAACTGTTTGGCAGCCCACCTAAAACTTTAATTCTCTGATTCCATCTTTCGCTAATTCTATATCTATCTACGACCTTTCCCGTAACTTTTAGTCTTGACGCTTGGTCTATCACGTGTTCATGCTCGTCCGCCTGTGTTCACTGTTTGTCTGTGTCCTGACTGTGCGGAAGCCGTGGTCCGTGTCCCACCCATGTTGACCTTGTCTTCTGACCAGTCACGTGTCCAGATTTTGTATATGAACTCAAGCGGCGTGTGCCATTGGTCCTTTGTGCCGGCCCGTGAGCAACGAATTCTTTAAACTCGTTCTATGGTATACGGTTAGTTCCGTTTCCCCGTTCTGTTTGTACAAATTCGGTTGAACGGACTGTGTTCTGTTGTGCGGAAATCATTAGGAACGCGCGTCACTCAACCTTCAGATCAATAAGGACGAGGTGAGGTGCTAGGCGACCGTGATTCTGTCACTGTTCGTCATTGTGTATTCATCTCCGTCTTGCTGTTGAGCGCTGCGTCACTGCTCGCGAGTCTGATTATGAATGGATGGTGCTGTTGATTTATTGCAGCTGATGATGTCGATATTGAGGAGGGCTTGGTGACTTTGTTCCGTTTCGATTAAATCCATGTGTTTACCGGGAAGAAGGGTGAAACCGATGTTCGATTCGAAAGATTTGGGCTCCCGCACCGTAACTTGAGTCCTCGAGGGTCATAGCCACTGCCTATCCTATTCGATGTCCGGTTGAATTCAACTTTGGGAAATTAAATATGGTTTCCTACTGAATTCCAGCCGCTAAATACCAGTCTACATTCATCCTTATCTTGTGACAGCATCCCCTACTGGGACAAAGCTGATTTCCATACAGAAACTTGCAACTGTGTTGTCAAGTTATCCCCTTAAAACTAACTGTATTTGCCGGTCGATTTTTTAGGCCATTTTTTCGGGTCATTAATAATCAAATCTATTTGCTCCGGTTACCGGAAAGTTCCTCCCTACCATGGCAACCATGAGAACACAATCAACTCCAGGTGTACCGTTTCTGTCCCGAGTGTGTTCCACCAACCAACCCGCCATTCTGTTACACTTACCAATTTATTTTCAGGCCGGTGGTAGTCAAGTGGTAGAAAGACTGCCGGTAGTTTTAATGACATCCGCTTTCCTCACCCTCCACTGTCCATGAGTACTTTCTGAGTTAGCCTGTCTCGTTTGCTCGCACAGGTGACAGAAGAACAGAACAAGCTATCCGCTTTGAACCGTCAGGCTGATGAGCAACGTATGGAACTGGAGCGCCTAAGAACAGAAAATTCCCGAGAATCGGAAAACAGTGCGGCAAATGTACGTGAACTGACCACCCAAATCACTACCAGGCAGAGAGAGCTGTCTGAAGTCCAGGTGCGTTCGTACTACTTTTGCCATAATAAGTAGCATGCTGAAAGATTAGCCACTTTTAGTTCCCTATGGAAACTCAGGGATGTATAAAGTCAGTTGGTTCGATGGGACAGATCTGATGAGAACAGTTTGTTTCGGACGAAAAAACCCCTCCGAGATAGTTCATACGCTACTCTGGTTGGGTCATTGACCTCGCAAGTCATGGGGTCATGCCCTGCGCAAGGATCTTTCCGCCCAGCCCTGCACTGAGTTGAAACCATCGAAAGGTGGACAGGTTGTGCTCAGACCGAGTATGGAAGTAGGCTTCATTAAACCCACTCAGGTCCGTAGTTGTTTTGGGTGATTTGTATGATGCGAATTATCCACTGACAAATAGTCTTGTTTCGAAGCCAGCACCATTAATGTGCGATTGCCTCTGTCCCAACTTCACTGGAGCATTTAGGCACCAACGGAGCGTCAGTGCCGGGTGGTTGTGTCCCCGTTTTTCTGCTCATAGGCCTGCAAAACTATTATCGGCGAGGCCAACGTTGTCGCTTTAACGAAACGACTGGTTGAACTGAACTGGACTCCTTCAAGAGCACATCTATACTTATCAGTTCCTTAGAGTATAAAAGGAGAATCGACCTCCACTTTGAATGGAACGTCGTCGTCATCATCATCTCACCGTCATCATCATCATCATCATCATCATCATCATCATCATCATCATCATCATCATCATCATCGTCATCATCATTACCATCATCATCAATCATCATTAAGTCTTCTGTGGTTTTATTGTGGTGCTTACTGACCACTTCTATCCCTCCGTTTGTAGACCGCAGTTAATACCCTTTCCCACGAGAAGATGACCCTGATGCAGGCTTTGGAATCGTTAAAATCCGAACGAAATCGAATTCTCTCGGATCTTGAAGCCAAACAACAGGTGAGTCACTTTTGAGGCGAACGGAAAGTGGTTCAGAGGTGACTTAGCCGGCCTAGAAAACAGTGTTTTGACGGCACCTGTGGTACCTCATTAGTCTCCTTCGTGTGTTCGTATTCACGCTTACGATGAGGGGGGGGGGTTTCCTCGTGGGACTTGGAACGTGGCTTTCATCTACCCCACAGCGCTATCCCACCTATTCATCTGGATCAATCAGGTTAAAAATACTTGGAACCGATTGAGTAGTCACCGTTTTCGAAAAAGTTTGGTGGAAATCGGTAGATTTATTGCTGGGCAACGTTTCGCTTTTGACTCAAAAGCTTCGTCAGGCCAAGTGACTAGGTTCCGAGGTTGGTCGAGATTTAAGGCGGAAGGAGAACCAATCCGCTAAGTCAAGCTAAGTCAATCTGTTGGGTGTCGGCCGAGTGGTTGAACAAGTGTTGGGTCGGTAGGGAAACCTACATGTGTTTGGATTCAGCCTAGGGTCTAGTTCTTCTGGTTCGGTTCATTTGATGGTCCCTCTTGAATGTCGTTTGAACTTTCTGTCCGTGTGTGTGGGTGAGCTAGTGCTAAGAAAGTTGTGTAAGAGGGATGCTGTGACCTTTGGTCGGTTTCGGGTTCCACCCCCTACCTCCCGGTTTTTTCTAATGATCCTAAGTGGGTTGACAACCACACAGTCACGTGTCAACTCGGCTTATCTAAGACCGCTTTCCATACGCTTGCCAGTTCCACACCCTCGATTTTACTCACGCTGTGATGCGTAGTAATTTCAACCGCCTCGGCTATCAGCCGCTGTGGTGTGAATCGCAGTCCCCATCTTAAGACTTCCACATTCTCCAGATCTATTCTATGTCCCGTGTCTAAGGCATGTACCGCCATCGCTGAGTCTTTGACCAGCGCTGGGTATTCTTCTGCATTCCTTGGTGGTTTGTTAATCCTTCTTTTATGCTCACCAATTCTGGTGTGCAGTTAACTGGCAGTACCTTATGTGTAAACCTGAGTGCAGTCGTTGCAGTTAACTTTATACACGCAGCCTCTAGTCCTTTCAACCAGCAAGGGATCTTTCAATTGCACCAAAACTGGGCGTAGCGTTTTTACCATCTGAAAAGCTATTCCGATGTTGGCTAAGTTCAACAGTCTCCAAATAACCTCCGATGTTCCTGCTTTATATGAAATGACTGCTGTGCCAATCCATTCCTCACTGGGTCTAGATACTGTGGCAAATATCTTTCTTAGTTGGCACTTAATCAAACTCATTGGGTATCCTATTTCTTGAAGTCTGTTGGCACCCTAACACACAAAAATCCCTCGGCCGATACGCAACAGAGATTTAGCTTGATTTAGCGGATTGGCTCTCCTTCCACCCTAAATCTCGACCAACCTCGAAACCTAGTCACGTGGCCTGTTGGAGCTTTTGTGTCAAAAGCGAAACGTTTCTTAGCCCTCGCCACGTGTCTCACAAACTTATGCAGAAAGACGACAGGACAAAATTAGAAAGTTTGTTTTCCCATACTCGATGATCAAACCAGTAACTGTTTGTAGGTTCAACGTAGATGATGGTCGCACGTTTTCCTTCTCGATTCCTCTCTCTAGTCCTCGGTCGAGCTGGAAACGGACTTGAACAAACGTAGGCGTGAACTGGAAACTGTGACAGACCGTGTCCGATCGGAGGAAGATCGGGTGAAAGAACTTACCTCTCAACAGCGTGATTTGACCAACCAACTGGAGCAGCTGCGTGCACAAGTGCGAACAGAAACCGAAGCGCTACGGGGACAAGATTTGGCGAGAATGAAAAAGGTACGTTCTTCCTCTACGGTTTCAGGCCCGCCTAAGCAAACCCACAAAGGTGTATTTTGTGATCTGTCTCACTGTTCGCCACAGAACATGGGTGGGGCGAGATGGTCCAAGTGGTTAGAGCGCGAATTTACTGACCGGAAGGTCCGTGGTTCGAACCCCACCTCCGCCTCTCGACTTCCCCTGTCTAGGCTTGGGCAACCTGGCAGTATCCCAGCCCTCGTGCAACCTTCGGGTTGCTTGTCAGCTAGGCACCGAAAGGGTGCTATAGCTGAACGTAGCAGGACATGAGTACTCCCAGATGGTCTTACTAGTTCATTTGTATGGAAACGTCTCGCGTGAGGAGTATCGCCACTTAACTTAGGCTGCGCTACATCTGGAACAATAGAACAGACATCATGCACCGTGACCGCAGGTCAGAGGATGAACGGTTCTCGACCCAGATTCACTTCAAAGTTAACGGTTTTGTTGCGCAACCTCAGGTCTGCGGATGAGCCGCTTGAGGTAGTCGATAAGTTTGTCTACCTGGGCAGCTGTATCGGTCTTGGCGGTCTAGCGAAAGTTGGTATTTCCATCCGGATGGGGAAGGCCACAGAAGCGTTTGTGATCCTACGTCACCTGTAGCGTGACAACAACTTATCCTTCAAGGGTCAAGTGTATAATGCTGCGCTGCGATCCATATTCCTATATGGGTCAGAAATGTGCTCTCTGCGCAGCGGGAATGTCAAAAGACGTTCAGTGTTTTACCATCGGTGTCTTCGGAACATTGCCCAAGTTTGGTGGGCAGCAATGCTAAAGTACGTCGAATAGTATTCGGAAGATATAACTCACCTTCGATAGATGAACCGATCACACTGCATCGGTTGCGCTATCTTGGCCACGTGCTCCGCATGCCAGTCGACCGACTTCCTGGAAGGGTTCTTTTTGCACAACCACGTGAGGGGTGGAAACGAGCCAGAGGCGGTCAAACAATGACTTGGCAGCGAAGTATGAAAGCCAATACCAGCAAACTCAGCTGCGCTGAGCTTTGCCGTCTTTCTAGATGGGAACCCCGAGACGCGTCATATCAGTGGTTAGAGACATCGTCAGACATGGCCCAGTCGCGCCCTCAATGGCGCTCATTCATACAAGCCTTCAATGCATAGCTCACTTCCCAATCCCACCCCCCCACTTAAGAGTCCACCGACAATGCTGTATTTGCGCACGAATTTATCAGCTCGCCTTTAATGCGCAGCTATCTACCTCACCTCCTCAAATCATCGGCGAACGAAGCTGTGGCAACCACAACATCTGTACGACAAGTACGCGGTTCTTACAGGTGATAACGATGATGAGGTAACCAACAATGGAAGCAAATCTGTGTTGCCTTTTATTCCAACATAATCAGGAGCATTTTCTAACCACCTACCCACTGTTATATTTCCGGCCGGACTCGAGAAGTCACTGGGATACATCTCCTTCGATCCTTTGTACGGGTCTTGAGAGAAGATTGCTCTCTCCCTTTTACGTGCTAACCGCAAACAGGCATTCGAAAGGATGAGAGGACTTCGAGACGTATACTCATTCGCGAATCAATTTGGTTTTCACGAGAGACTCAACTGAATCTCACGTTTATGATATTCTAAAACTGAAAGTGCTGCACACAGGCCGCCTCATGTTTCAGTTGGCATAATACTCGAGCTAACGCAGTATATTTTCATGAAGAAAACTACTCACAAGGTCGGAGAGTTTTCAGCGACCTTTTGAGTAGTTTCCTTTATGAAAAAAGATGAAAGGAATTGATTTTCTTGTGGCCATTTTGTGAGCTGATGCTAGATATTGCCATCAATTTAATCCCTGGTTATTTTACATCTATCAAATGAAAACCTTGGACTGACTTCTTAACCCTCATTCGCACGCCGATTTGGTTTGGACGGGAGAGTCAATTGAAGTCAGAGCTCTCTTCAACTGTCGGAAAGTTCTCAGAACCCTTACAAGTAGTTACTTCTTGTCAAACAAGTCTTTAGCTATATCTTTGTAATGTACTACTCATAAGGTTGCTGAAAATCCATCGACAGTCCATGATAGGTTTCGCCCTTTTTTGGGGCTCTAGGTGAAGTCCCCGGGTTTCCGTCAACCTTATGTTCTACTTGAAACCAAATTGCACGAAATTAGCGAATATAAACTCATTTGCAAACGAATTTGGTTCTTTCGAGAGACTCTCCTGGTGCAGCACATTCAGTCGCTTGGAAACATCACAAACGGGAGATTCAGCTGGGTTCCAGGTGAGTCTCTCGAAAAACCAAATTAGTTTGCAAATGAGTGTATATTCACTAAAGTCTTTAGCTACTTTCTTTTCAAGCAGCCATGTTCGAGACTGGTGCAGTTTCTCAGCTGTTCATTACTACCCGCCCCATCTGTCACGCGAACGCTTCTACTCCATCTTCGATTTCCCTGTTAGACTACTGAGTTGGAAAACACGCGAAGCGACGCAGACCGAGAATTAGCCGATTTGGAACGCTTGTCCTCGCGGCAAAAGTCCGTTGGGACTGACCTTCGCCAGCTAATCCAACAAAGGGATCTGGTGAAAAAGCAACTGGAGCGTTTGCAACAAAAAGTCCGGGAGCTCGAAAGGTGAGTGAGTGAGTACTCGAAAGTGCGGTAGATACCACGGGTAGGAGTAGTTGTTGTTTCCTATGTCAGAGAGAGAGAGAGAGCTCGAAATCGCCCATTCCCCCGAACAAGAATTACTGATTTGGAATCGACCCACCGCTTTTGATTGTTCCTGTCTAGGTCGGAACCTGACCTGACAGCCGCTCAGTTCCATTCGGTTTGCGTAGCATCTACAGCTGAACGATTGCAGATGGTAAAGCAGACGCGTAATTTTGACCAGACCCCTTTCAGGTTTGCTTTATAAGTGTAAGTTGTAGGAGTGTGGACAGGTTTGTCCTTCGAAACGATTCTATCACCGTGTTGTGTTTCCAGGATAAGAATCGTCACTCAAGTACCTTCACTAGACTCCACACTACGTCATTCTACCTTTTAGACGCAAAGCTGAATTGTTGGATTCGATTTCTGAGGCCAAACTGGAGTTGCATCGCGTCAGGACCGATTCGGAAGCGGAGTCCAACAGTCTGGAGCGTATACGCCACCGATTCAAGGCCGATCGAGATGAGTTCGAGCAGCTATCTCAACGCCTGGATGAGAAACGTTCGGAAGTGGATCGGCTGCAGTAAGTGAGCTGAGCTCCATCATCATCCTTGTCCTCCGTTGACCCACCTGCAATCCTTTTCGCCATTAACTGTAGCTGATCAGTCATTTAACTGTAGCTGATCAGTCAGGGGGGGGGTGGAGTGTCGAAGTTCCATCTGAGAGGACAAGTAACGTTAGCTAATTTCTGGCTTGTGGCGTCAAACTTAACATTGAGAGCTAACTGTATTGTGGGCCATTCAGCAGTGGGAGGATCCAAGGCAAAGTAACCAATGGTCATGACATAGACAGACATTCAAAGTGGGGACAGATCTTACACTTAATAGGATGACTGAGTAGGAGAAAGACTGGATAAGGCGATCGTCCGCCAAAGTAAGCTGAAAGGGTTGTCGCCGGACTGGTACGGCCTTCTCCGAAACTGTTACTCATAGGATATGTCAATTTGACCAGTTTAGTTTTCTGTTTGCCAGTCGGAGGTCAACACACCAATCGAACAGAGAACAGAATTACTTTCGCCATTTGTGGCCTCAAAGGACACGTGTATCAGACCGCAGTGTGAACTGTCTAGTTGTACGCCCAAGCGAATTGGCCACTTCGGGCGGAGTATATGCTATCTGTTCAGGTCTTTGACCACCGAGGTCTCAGAATTATGTCTGGAATCGACTGGAATCAGCGAATTCATAAAGAAGTTATCGGGGGACTGGTTCGTGGTGAAGCAGTTCAGTACTGCAATCCGAGTTGTCAGTTTAGCCTGCAAAGTCGAGAATCTTGTCGAAAACAACTCGTTTGTATGCGTTACGCCTGCATAGACCACCGCCCCCTCTCCTTCGAAGCACAAAGGCTAAGAAGTTAGCTAGATGTGGAATACTGCTCCTGGTCGTCAAAAGTCCGATGAGTCAGGCTCACTTAAAACACTGTTGATCTCGAATGAGTACCGTGTAGACCTCGAGATTTTCGTTTGTCTCAATCGTCGGCTGATTGTGCCCGAACTGAGGTAAAATAATTCCGTTCACCCGATCTGACCAAACATATCCTCTTCTCGCCTTACGAAAACAGAACTCGTTTGTCGGTCAGTGAAACCGCCATGGACACATTCGAACAGGGCATGACTGAACAGCGCCGTCAGCGGATTGAACTCACTGGCGAGTTGACCAAGCTTGGAGAGGCCGTCTACACAGGTCGCTTGGCCATTCAGTCTACGAATGAGGAACGGGAGAATAGCGAGTACGCTTTGCAAGAAACTCTTGGACAGCTGGACAGGGCCAGAGAGGTGAGTCAGTACATCGAGTGCAGTCATTTTCTGAGTTTCACTACTTGTTGAACTAGGTTCGTTATGGGTGCTTTGATTGACTTTTACCCCCAATGTGTTTGCTTTTCCGTTCTCGCTTCCTCTGCTTAGCCAACCCGTCAGCGAGTGAGTTTCCACCGAACGTTGGACTCCGTCAGTCCAACCGGTTGGTTGCAACCACCCGGTTTTGCATGCGACTTACACCTTTAAACGGATGTTCACCTGTTTGTTCATCACCTAAGCCTTGTTCGTGTCCGTTTACTCATCAACCGCTGTTTTTAAATCCATTTTTTCTAAACTCGACCTTGAATTGGTTCACGCAGAAATCAGCGATGTTGCATGTTAGCAGTTCTCAAGTGCACAATTTGGTTTCATGTTGTCTCTAGTGTGTCACAAGAGTACCATTTCGTTCAGCCCGACCGCCCCACTGGGATGCACTTCTGCCCAGATGAACCCATCTGTCAGATCCCTTGAGACTGATGAGGTGCATTATTTGACCACAAGTGTCCTTTTCGTTAGCGGAAGTCGGCTGTTTTACTGACCTCCTCTGAACTTCAAGACTCGGCCCCATGCAACAACGAAGCCACGATCCAGTTGAGGCCAGATGAGATGTGGTCGGTTCTGTTCATAGACAGGGAAGCATTATCCCGATCAGTTCAAGGAACAGGCAAATCCGGTGTAGGCAGTCGCTGTCGGCACAACTAGTATCAACCCGGGGGGGGGGGGTACAGTGTGACATTCGCATAGACATTGTTCTCTCAGTTTGACATGATCCATTTCCGTCGACGAAGTACAACTTAGTTTGTATTTTACGCTTGGCTCCAGTTCTATGATTTTCCTTTTTGTGCCAGCCCGTCCGCATCTGTAGGAGCTATCTGTTCTGCTAGAAGAACGAAAGTGATCCTCTATTCCGCCTGTCAAAAACATCTTTTATGAGTTCGAGATGGCTCAGTGGTCAAGGAAGCAACTTACTGACCGGAAGGTCTATGGTTTGAACCCAAAATCACCACCTTGACTGTTCCCGTCTAAACGTCGCTAACCTGCCACAGGAGGAAGGAGCTCCAGGGCTACTACCAGGTTGTCTGAGCCTCGACAGCAATAGTCGAGATGCCGGAGTTGCGCTCAAACCACAGACTTTTCGGTCTGTAAGTCCACACCTCGAGCGCGGCCCGAACACAGTTCATATCCAATCGGTCTAATTCACTGTTGCCTTTGTAGTTGTGCGACAAATTACTGAGTAACAAGTCAAAAAATCCAAGACGGCTTTTTTCCCTGTCCAATGACTTGCACAAGCCATGCATCGTTGATTCCATTCTCGTAGAAAACGCATTTTTAGAGTCCGAACTAAACAAGCAAATTTATATTCTGTTGACCCTGAAGGAATTACGGAACGTACGCGACCGAAAGCGAACCGAGCAGGCAGAAGTGGAAAACGTGAGTTCCCCAGCATTGCTGCGTTTTCACGGAGTCCTTAGTCAATGGGCTGAACAGTGTTCCCTCTGAATACGTTTTCCGTATGAATAGGACCTCCTTGGGGCCAACAAGCTCTCAGTAGTGTGCCTCATTCTCACGGTCCACTTACAAATGCTTCGTGGAGCGAGCATAAGATCGTTCACTTTAAAGGAATGCGATCGCTTCTCGAGGAAGTGTTTGTCAATCGAACTTTTTGCATGAATGCTGAGTCAACGTAAAAAAACGAACATAAGGTTGTTAGAAACTCGGGGACTGCACCTATCTGATGAGCCCAAAGTGGAAGGGCGAAACCGGTTGTGGGCTGTCGAAGAGTTTTCAGCAACCTTGTGAGTACGTCCCTAATAGATGGTTTGAAATTCAACAAAAACAACCGCACTAGCTATCAGGGCTCATAAAACCAGAAGATCAATCCCCGTTATATCTCACAATTGTCGTTTCTCGCGAAATCAATCTTTTCTCCCATTCTCACAGCGCTTGATGTCTAGCCGAAAGCAGCTTCAGAAAGCCACGGATGAACTTGCCAAAAAGCGAGCTCAGCTGGCTGAATTGGAGGACAAGTACAAAGAAACGGAGGTGAGTTTCTCCTCTTTTTTGTTTGTTTGTTGGTTGAGTGGTGTCATTTGACCGACTAGGGAGGTGTTTTTTTGCGTGTGTGGACATTCGTAGTCACCCCTGACACCTTATGGTTCTTTCCGTACAGACAAGGCTGTCAAACCTCGGTCGAACTGAAGCCAAATGTATCGAATTGGAACAAGCTCTGGCTCAGCAACGTGAGTTGTCTTATGTCACCTCACTTCTGATGTATCTGGACTTCAAAGTCTCGTCAGGACAAATCTCCAAACCATAATTCCAGTAATATATCGCTCATTTCGTTGTCCCCTATTACTCAGGAAACGACAAACAGTCCAACAATGCTGAATCTCAGGAAAAACCAGCCGACCCCGAAATGCTAGCGCGCTCACTGGCCGAAACGAAATCCGCGTTGATCGCTGCTCAGCGTGATTGTAAACGAGCAAAAAGGCGCTCTGCCAAGGAATTAGCCGAGCTTGAACGTATCGCTGAGGAACAGTGTGGTCGGGCAGGTGATTTGACGGAACAGCTGGCTCTCGTGAAACGTCAGTACGCGCAACTCAAAGGCCAGGTGAGTGGCAGCCTACAACCGACTTTCGTTGTTTTCCGTCTTGATGTTTTTTTTTTTGAAGATAAAACTTCCGATTATGCTCCACTTGTGTATTTTTTTGTTACCTTCAAGATTTCCACGTACGGGATGCTGATGGACGAAATTATCACGGTAACCACGCTCCCCAGTAGCCCACGAACAATCATTTGTTTGGTGCATGCCACAATCCCCACCAACTTTTTTCTTGGTCGTATCATCCCATCTTACGAATGATCGCGTTCATCGTAGATCCTAACGCTTCCCCTCGCCACCCTAGTTGCATGCTCGAAATAGTTTTTGCATCCAAAGACTGTAGTCATGCTTTAATGCAGATTGTTCAGATTGTCCCACTGATGTCTTTTCCTCCACAGCAACCGATTCATTCTCTACGGTTCTGCACCTTTTTACTGTTGTGTGGTGAACTGCACTTGAGCGTTTCGAGTGAATATCTTTCTGTGACAACCGTGTAAGAAATTGCGTGGGTGGACGTCAATATTCATGAGTGAATTATTGATCCGGACCGTACCCAGCTTGTGCTCCACACCCGACCTATCTGGGCACGTTTAGTGAGATCACGTAATTGGCCAAGTCGATCGACCAATCAGAGCACTCTTTTCGGTCTGACCAGCTTACATCAGTCATTAAGACAATTCTTACAATTTAAGTTAAAGCGGCAAGGAAAAACAATTTCTATTGTGCGATTCTAAACACGTGCAGCATTTCGGATTGTTTTCTCAAGTTAGAGGAATTTTTGAAGCGGTGGGTGAATTCCTTTGGCAGCTGTGATCTTGAAGCGGATCTGTAGAACCTGGCTTTTCTGTCACTAGTGGCGGTTCTTACTGACGCCTGAAGTCCCGTAGTTGTCTCATCGGTACTGGTTCCCTCTGAACGACAGTCAATAACACTGACAGACATGACTCAGTCTCGAAGCTTTTATTTCCCATCACTGATTAGAATGGAAAAGGCCAAGACTAAGGTAATTTCCGTACTCTAGCTGAACTGAGCTGCGCTCATCTTCGTTCTGCCATGGATTGTGTTCCGGATAGAGTGTCACGGAAGTCTGGATGATACTCGGACTGCTATCAACAACAACAATCATCGGTCAGCGTGTGTGACAAATTATGACGTTAGTGGGACTGGTTGTGTGTCACTTTCAGATAATGACTCATGTGGGATTTATCTTATTGGGAAGCTAGCTTCTGTCTTGTCAATTCTGCATGTGTACCGTTTGAAACTGTATGACTGTTGGAGATTCAAGATCCCATCTCACGCATATCCAACACGTGAAATTCGCCTACCTCATAGATTGCCTCTCAAACTGAGTTGGACGAACACGGAAAGCGTCTGGAGGCTGCATTGGCAGCCGTTCGGGCAGAATTGGATCAACATCCATTGCACTGTTTGTTCAACGAGGCGGCTTCTGGTGGATTGGCTGGACGAACGCATCGTACGGTCAGCCTCGGACAAGATTTACAGGTGAGTTACAACCGACGGTTTAGTTCATGCACTTGACTTTTGTGTGCTGTTGAGGCTATTTCAGGCCGCATCTGGTTAACTGTAATCGAATTATGATGTGAAGCACTGTCAACTGTTCCAACTCGACTGAGGATCTCACGTAGAAGCTTGAACCCTTTGTTATTGCACTACGGGTGACTTTCCAACGTGGATGACGAATTCAGTTCAATAAAACCCTAGCGAAAAATACATGGTCTCATTCGATTTTTCTGTGTGACGTCAGCAGTATAATTTGTTTTGTATCGAACTGTCTTCTACTGCAGGTCTTGCTAATAGTTTGAGGAGATTTGGGAATTGTTTCAAGAGAACTTTCACTCTGCAGGCGGAGCCGACTTATGCTAGGAAGCCACAAAGCATTTGTTTGTTCCTTATTGAAGACCATTAGCAATGCGCAACTTACGAAACTCCAGAGAGGCTCGAACCCGTGTTTTGAGCACGTTTGAACCGGTCGGCCGGAAAGTTTCGGTCTCGAAACTCTCCCCCTGAAAGTTCATGGGATAGGCATTGATTATGATTCTCAATAACAATGGAACAGGTTTACAGTGTTTCTCGGCTTTTTTTGAACAGATGAGTTCCACTTACAGGACCTTAATCTTGCATAGATGCATGTTGATATGAGGCGATTACACGTCGAACAATCGGCTGTCGATTGCCAGACACAAGTGTACCGGGCACAGTGAGAATGATTGGGTGGTGAAAAAACTAGGGAACCCCATGTAGGGACGGGACTGTTTGGTAGGTCACCTGAATTCCTTGCTTCAAGATGTAGGGACTTTAATCGAATAACATTGCAATCCTCAATAAGTCCGAACACTTCGGTTAATACAGCGTGAACGTGGGCTTAAGCCGTGCTAAGGCTGTACTACTCACAGTTTGTGTCAGTGGTTTGTAGCCGAGTGCTCAAACCCAATTCCTGTCCCGCTCAGGATCGATCGGATGATTCTCCATAAAAATGGGTCAGGCGCACGACCAATTCTGGTCACTTCTCATACGCAGAATTTCAGAGGGACAACCGACTTCTATCTTTGGGCCGATTAAACTGCCTTCACTGGGAACTAACTAAATGACACAAGTGTACTTACAACAAGTACCTCAAATATCGATGGAGCAATAGAAAATGTTGGCAATGTTGTGGAATGTAGGTAGCTCGGGTGCGCTGTTTGGTTGTTGGTCTGTTGAACCACAAAAGCAAACGCGTCATAGCCGGAAAGCCCCGAGCTTTTGCATATAACTTTAGCTACTTATGAGTAGTGAACCATCTGCAATGTTTCACCAACCATGCGGGTGGGGCCTCTTGACGGTATAGTGACGGTTGCAACCGATCACAGGTAGTCTTTATTCATCCTCTTCCCTTCTAACAACGTTAGTTTCGTGAAAACTAACCATGGATTTGGGGCGTTCTCCGAGATGTCTTCTAAGACCATTCGTAGTGTTCTCAATGTGTATCGGATTCTGACACAGTATGCCCTTCATTGTTTTTGGAAACCCTTCGCTTAGAGCTGCTTGTCTACAAATCACGCGAATGACCTTAATAGCGATGCGTACCTCCCTTAGTTTTCCACTTCACAGTGACGACCGATCGTCGCCTTGTGATCTTTCGAAATTCGTGCTCGGTTGATACAGAAGCGGTAGCGCTTACTCATTATACAGACGGGTGGTTTTTTCCCGCTTAACGGAAAAGAGGGGTTGCTACCAACCGGTAGATGTGTGTGCTCACCGAGGGTACAATAGGAACAAATGGATGACAAAATGTCCCCGTACGTTATTTTGGAGGACCGGACTGATGATCAAATTAGGACGTTCGTTGCGATGACTTGTCAAGTCATTGCATATGATTGGTGCTTCCCAGTCCCTGTTTATTCTCACGAAAAATTCCATCTAGGCTGATAATGGACGATTCGCACAGCGATGTAATTGAAGAACCATCTACTTAGACTAGACTTTGTAGGTTCCTTTGGTTGCTGTAAGCTGCAGGCGTGTTCCCCAAGAATGAAACCCACCGACTTAAGACAGAATGATTAGTTTGACTCTCTGCAGTGGCGGACAGCCGCGCAGACAACACGTTCGTCTTCATTATTAGTCATGTCATCAGTATGCCGTTTGTTAGAGAACTTGCCGTCAATCTTCACATATCCAAGCCCGAACTTTTCAGGCATTTTTTGTTGGTGTCTGCTGTACACGTGTAGAAGCAACACATTCTCGTAACAACGGCTTGAATCCCTGAGCTTTAAGCTAATTCTTGTTTTTCTCTTGTCCGCCAGCAACCATCTGCTTCCACACAACATCCTCGATCTTTCATATCCTCCCAGTCACAGCTGCAACCGACATCAGGTGGCCTATACAAACCGCGTAGGAACCATCGAGCGGCAGTCATTCCCGAAATGGATGAAAGCACACCTGGTACGGCGAACAATACTTGCCGTACTGCCAACACAACCGCCACATCGGGCTTGGGTTCCAGCTGTTTACATGCCAGCGGTGCGCTACTGGAGACCAACGGTACCGGACAAGATGCATCAGATGTTTCCTCACCCGATGATCGAGCACTGTTGAACCGGGATGCATTGACAGAATCCGATTGGAAAGTGAGTGCACTAACGTAACTTTCCACCATCGTTGGTTTTACTTATTTTGATTGTCTCGAGTGCAAACAAATGTGAACATGAGTTGGGTGAACCAAGGTTTCCAGCACATTGCGCTCCTTGTGTAAGTCTCCTTGGGATGAACAATGGTCGTCGAATCGAAATTTGTTGACCAGAGATTGGTCAGGATCTAGGATGTTAATCCACCGCTTAAAAAAAACATTCCGCACGAGGTTTGATTGTAATTCCAGCTCATGAGTATCCAAAATCTTCCCACTTGCTAGTTTCCATCCATTTCCCCCTTAGTCGGAGCAGATCAATACCAAAAGGGGTTGCCCATGCCAGTCTTCGTAACTTGGCGACGGGGTTCGTTGGAACTCCATCTGTAAAATAGGATGCTATGATAACCTGGTTAAATCTACCAGTATATCGTCCAATAATTTTCCAATGTAACTGCGATTAAATTCTGTAATGCATGCCGTTGATCGACTCGTGGTGTTTGTCAGCTTGCATGTACATCTCTCTCCCTCCCGGGAACCATTCCCTCTCTAGTAGAGCAGTGTAGCTGTAAGGGGCTAACGCAGTAGTGGGTTATGACAATGGCGTTGTACTGAACAACGGGTTTTGTGTGGCCGCCTACTGCCGGTTAACAATCCTGCGATGCATAACTGCTCAGTAATCACGCACCAATAGGGAACGTGAGCTGAGTTTATACCGTCGTGAGACAGACAACTACTGAGTACAATGACTCAGTGCAGTAGTACAAACTGGCCGCTACTATGGTAATTCTGTTTAGTACGGGAGGAACCGCAGGTTCAGACATTTGGTGCCTGGCCGAAAGGCCAATGGTGCGAAGCTACCATCTGAGAGATTACGACTGAACGCCTCCAAGTCTGAATCCCGTCCAGATAGGCAAAGGTACATTCTGTGCCTATTACATGTTCATAGTCACACCAATCTCGTTCGAACGGCCGTGTTCCTGTTCTGGCGTAATTACTCCAGTGGGTCCACACCAAAGGGGAGCACTGGACTCGAGCTTCGCTCTTATTAGAGCTCATCAGCAGTGCATATCCAATGTCCGTGCCGGGATATGAACCTGACATGCGAGGCGAGCGTGTAACCACTACTCCACCAACGCACGTTGGACGCATCTGAATTATCACGTTTGAACAGGCGAACGTGTTCCCACTTGAGCGGTGGCAAATCTTGCTTACGTTTTCCATATGGTTCGGTTGTGACGCCCTTTCGGTACCTAGCTGCCACGCCACCCGAAGCGAGCACGAGAGCTGGGATACTGCCAGTTGCCTAGACAGGGGAACTCGAGAGGCCAAGGCTAGTAAATTCGCGCTCTCACCACTGACCCATCTCTACCTTTCCTCATCGTTCAATCGAAGTGTTTTAAACGACCTTATGTAGCTGATTGCACACATCAGAGCGACCATACCACAAGCACTCCAATCAAACCTAACAGCATGCCCATGAAGTGATGGTAAATTTGCCGGTGGTTGGAGGATTCGAAATGTGCCACTGAAACCCCATCTTGCGGACGAAGTCACCCCATGCCGAATGGTACTGTTCGGCCATTCCGACCTTGGTAGGATCCAGTAACAGTTAGCCCTTCGGGATTCCCTGGAGAGCCTTCCGAACGCTGAACCGTTTGGCCATGAGCGACTGCTCAGCAGTATGCTTAACTCACAGTTAGACAGGGCATAGCGCCGCTTATCCTTCAGTCACACAGTTTGCATACTTTGTCTCTCGAATGACCGAAGTCCGATCCGGGATTTTGCCTGTGAAACACCAACCGTTCTATTTGGTCAGAATATGGAACGCAAGTTTCCCACAATAAAATTCCTGCTTATCGTTTCACTGCATGGATAACCAAACAAGTTTCCACATTTTCCAATAATTCGTGCGAAATTTTTTTTACAAAAATTTGTCATAAAACGCTTTTTGAAAGAAAGGGGAATCTGACGATAACAACAAGTTTCCATACCACTTTCTTACTTCGGTTGCTCCTGTCAGCTTGACCGCAATCAATCATGGACGGAGATCATGCATCTACGAGAGCTTAATATCAAATGCACTAGATGAGGGGAATACTTGCAAGCAAAGTGGAATTCCAAATCGAAAACAGTCGGTTTCATAACTGGCACTTTTAGATGCCTTTTCCATGGAATTGACTCTTCCGAACTGGACATTAGTCCGGTTCCCATCACAGTTCCACTCAACAGACTGTATCAGTTTTCACATAAGACGCGCGCTTCGGTTGTGCAGTGGGTACTTCCATCAAAGAATGTGTCCATCACCAGAAGCTGCGTTGGTTGGGACATGTGTTTTTCGTATGCCTAACCATCGTTTGCCGAAGACAGTGCTGCCTTCCATGCCCAATTCAGAGTGGCGTAAACAGAGAGCTGGCCAACCCTTGCCCTGACAGAGAGGTATGAAGGAGATTACGAGACGTTTGGATGTTATAGATGCTACTCGCCTTCCAGGATGGGAACCGCGTGATCCTCACTGAGTACGTTTGGAGACACTACAAGATATGGCCGCCAACCGATGTCAGTGGCTATCTTGTTCCCAGTTGCCATTCATATTCATCATCGTCATCGACAGCGTGACATCAATGTCGAACACCTGAGGACGTCTCCGTTCCGCTGATCGAATAGGCCAAGTCTCAGATTGCCTGAATGAGTGTCCGGAGGTGTAGGTACCTCGGAATGATTGCAGTAAGCTGGCACTAAGTCCCTTCCCTATCCACCCTTATTCTTTCTAGTAGATCATGGTTGTACGGCAGCGAAGCATCGGTGTTGAACACTGATGTCATGCTGTCCAAGATGATGGTGAACCAAACTTCAAAGTCCCGCATTGTCGTTGAAAGTCACTGATCCCTTTTTTTCCAACCCGATCAGCGTAAGATTTCGGATCGTGTGGCCCAGCAACGTCAACAAGCGGCTGCAGAGTGGGCCGAATCGGACAACCAGTTTCGCGCCCTCCGATGTCAAGTGGACGATGTACGGGATAGACTGGAACACGGAGGGATGAGACGGCGGTCACATACGGCAAATCAGGTGAGTTTGTTCGACAACTTTCTAGGTCTCTTCCAACTCAGGTCAGTCAGTCCATCGATCGCCTCAACTATTCCTAACAGTCTGGATAAAAAAGTCGTTCAGTTGCAGCACCCCTTCGGTGCCTAGCTGCCATGCCACCCGAATGGAGCACGAGGGCTGGGATACTGCCAGGTTGCCCAAGCCTAAACAGGGGTAGTCGAGAGGCAGAGGTGGGGTTCGAACCACAGACCTTCCGGTCAGTAAATTCGCGCTCTAGCCACTTGGATCATCTCGCCCCGAACAACCTGACTACCACCGCATGCACCCCTTCCCACTCATATATGATAGCTTCTCTATGGTTGATCTCCAGATGACCGAACCTGCACGACGGAACTGCGGACACCTTAAATTGCTCTATATCGGAAAAGAGCGGCTACTTGCCTTCCACCTCGCGGAGTCGATCAAATCCGTCAAGGGCGGCTGTTGTTCACCGATCCTGATACGAATGAAAGAATCATTCATCGTCCCAGAAGACGACCACTCCTTGCCTCAGGTTTCCTCGGAGTAACTCCAGCTGAAGAAGACTTACACATACTTTAAGTGGATTCTACAAATAGGCCCTCGATTGCAGCCAGCCTCTCTTCTTTCTTTAGGGAATACATGGCCTAACGCTAAGGCTTTTATGGACAACCGATTAGAAGGACATCAAACGTGCTACACCCTCAGTGAGATCACACACTTTAGAGCGTTCTCGTTCCCCACACAACATCCAGCCCCCTCCCCAAACTGTTCGACTGGAGTTCATCTTGCTTTTCTAAAAGTTTGATATTTCATCATACATAACGAAGAGGAGAACACTCATTCAAACAGGGGGTTGTGTCGTTAAACCTCAAGTATATTCTAACCCAGGTGATTAAACTTTATATCCTTGGCTTACCAACGAGGAAAGGGACACTCGAAAGTTGGTTGTGCACAGAGCACACCGAGAAATCGGAAACGTTGTGGAGATTTTGTCCTCTAAGTGAAGCCAATCTACGGTGAAAAGCCGAGAAGCACTGTACAGCTGTTTCATCCCTATTGGGAATCATCAGCAGTGCGCATCTCACGGAACTCCGAGGAGTCTCGAACCCGCGACCTCCCGGCTAGTAGTTTGAACACCTAACCGTTCGGCCGCGAGTGGCTGATCAGCAGTGTGATTAACTCGCACTTCCAAATCTCCTCACACTACCAACAATATGTAAGTAGCTCAGTCTAAGAATAAACTTCACCCGATGAGTGAAACTTCTATCTGAGAAGTCGTTGCTCGAGGAGCCAGTCAACACGTGTGACCGCGTGCTTCTCGGCTTTTCAGCATAGATTGGCTTCACTTACAGGACGAAATCTCCACAAAAATCCCAAATCTCCTCACACTACCAACAATCGGAAACGTGATAAGTGATGATTGTACACGAAGTTGACGGAATACTTTTCTGAAGGTATCGGTGGGCTTTCCAAAATGAACCAGCATATTGTAGCTCACTCGACGGACGGTACTTCTCTCAGGCTGTCCCACCGAGGATCTCGGTCGCCTGTAAACTGGATACTCATGGACGAGATGGCTCAGTGGTTACTGACCAGAAGGTCCGTGATTCGAACCCGACCTCTGCCTCTGGACTTTCCGTGTCTAGGCTTGGGCAACCTGGCAGTATCCAAGCCCTCGTGCTTCCTTCAAGAGTGTTCTGACCGACCGATTATCATTAGTAGCACCCTAGACGTTCGCGTTTTTTTAACACGTCTTCTCTTGTTAATGTTCACTTTTTTCCAGTCAAGAAAATGAACCTCCGTCTTGGCTTCCCCCGTCCTCACTTTTCAACTGGCGTAACGTTGATCACCTACTTCATGGCAGCCCAACTACAACCGATGATGTACTTCATTCCGTACCCCAAATGTCTTCCACCGACCAGTAGTAGCTGTTTTCACTCTCGCAATTCGCGTATTCCCGTCCGGCTTGCCCGTCACAGCGACAAAAACCCAGACAGAACCATCCGTTGGCAACTCGTCACCGGTACTTTGTGGCTACAATCTTACGAGCTTGGTTTTTGAACAATACGACCACAAAAGCGCCACTCCCTTCTTGTGTTCTGCGATAGATATTTTCAATTCGTGCTTCCTATGAGCGTACCGAAACACGACTGGTGGAGCAGTGTATCTCAAACAGTACTTGCTCCACACACACATATACCAACAATTGTTGTAAGGAAACTGTTTACTCTTTTGTAAAGTGATGTTTAATTTATCTCCCCATCAGTATTTCCCAAGTTGCCTTGCTAACCTTTCGACTGGTGAGTTTTTCGAAAAGTACACACCCTCCCATCAATCGGTATGTAGAAGTGTAGTGAGGGAAATCATTTCCAAATATCATGTTAAACACGTGTTCTCACTAGGAAGAGAAAGCAACCCGTTCGTAATTGATCACGTGACATGAAGTCGTGTAGCATTAAAAAACAAAGTCCCTGACAAGGTCAGTTCGAACAGTAAAATAAACGCGTTAAAAGAGACGAATCCTGGGGAGTATATGGACAGGTGGTCGCAGGGTCCACTAGTCGTTATCACCATTGACATAGGACAATCGAGAGGGGAATATCTGAAGATTGGAAGGCAGACGGGGCGATCAAGACAGACAGCCAGCAGCTGCTGCAACTTTGCTGGGGTTGAACAATTCCTCTCCGAGTGCGTGCAAAATTTCTCGGCGGTAGTCGTCGAATTCACCATCGATCTCGTTGATGGTGCAGTCTTCAATCACCCAAAGGGTACAGTTGGTATCTCGGATGAGCCGTTCGTCGTGACTCACGATGATGACACCTGGGGGTGGATGTTAGCAAGAAAACGGAGAGTAGTCATAAGATGGTAAGAACTCCATGGTCGGATGCTGATACATTTCAGCCAGAATAAAAGATGAGCATTTTGGGCTGAGTTAGCTCAGCTGTTGAGACTACTGACCGAAAGGCCCGTGGTTCGAACTCAACGCTGGCTTACTCGGAAGTATCGCGGCCGTCGAGCTGAACGACAGCCATACGTGAACGATTATCGTATCGCCCACCTCTTGGTGGGGGTAACCAGTAACCGATTCGAACTTTGTCTGCAAAGTTCAGCGCCTGACCAGACGCATTATATGCAACCTGAACATGAATATAACTTTTGCGACCAATGTGGAAGGGGCCCTTTTCTGACCAAACCAAAGATCGATGACCGCTGACTTACCACCTTCGTATTCGTTGATTGCCACAGCCAACGCATCGATCGACTCGATATCCAAATTGTTCGTCGGTTCATCCAAAATCAGAATATCCGGGGCTCGTCTGGACAATTCGGCAAACGCGACGCGCGCTCGTTGACCACCGGAAAGGTCGGCATTTGGGATAGTGTGTGCGTGAGCCTCGAGACCGAATTTGCCCAAGGTACTTCGGGCATCCTGAGGCGTCAGACAGGGATAAGCATTAGCCGAAATACAAAAGTCTGTGGACATGAGGGAAGAAAGCGAAAGCAAGACGCGAAAAACCGTTGGAGCTGCCATGATATTCCCACCAGTCCGACTGTCTTTCAACATGAGGTCATCGGAAGCATGTAGTTTGAAACAGAACATGATGTAACTGACGGCGCTAATTGAAAGAATGCTACAAACTGCCAGGACCGCGTGATCTTCAGTGCGCCTGATCGGAGACGCTGCAAGATGACTGTTAATCGATGTCAGTGGCCATCTTGTTGTCAGTTTCTATCCAGATTACCTGAATGGGTGTCTAAAGGTGTAGGCACCTTGGAGTGATTGAAGAAAGTTAGCTTTGAGTCCCTTCCTTATCCACCTTTATTCCTTTCTTCACAGTAAGGTTTTTGAATAAATCAGCGAAACTGTCATGCTATCCACGATGATGATGATGACTACCGGTTTCAACACTTGCGGCTCATCAGATAGGCCTAATTCCGCGAATCAACGTTGCTTTCTATTCGAGTATCAACTTGTACGTGTGTGGATAAAAGCAATGGCGTGCCACCTAAAACGGTGCCAGTGTGTGATCTCAGCTGAATCTCAGTTCAACTTGTAAATGGGTGTTTAGTTGATTCCTGGAGTAACGTCTTTCAGAGACGTCCATCGATGGATTAGAACAGTCTTGAACGGACACGCCCTTCGGCGCATTTGTTCACAAAATAAATCAAATTGGTTCATCCGATGATACACAAACATAAAACTAAATGTTGAGATAGACAAATCGCGTCAACAAAGACACACAATTGGATACTCAGTTTATGTAATGTGAAACGGTGGGCAGTCGAAGTTTTTTTCGTTTGACGAGATCCTTTAGGTGGCTGACAACAAACAACCCCAAGGGTATTCAATCACGTGAAAAATACTTGGAATCGATTGAGTAGTCATCATTTTCGAAGAAGAACTAGACCCTAGGCTGGACCCAAACACATGTAGGTTTCCCCATTGACCCAACACGTGTTCTCCCACCCTAACACACAAAAATCCCTCGGCCGATACCCAGCAGAGTCCTAGCTTGACTCAGCTGATTGGTTCTCCTTCCACCTCGACCAACCTCGCAACCTAGTCACTTGGCCTGAAGAAGCTTTTGCGTCAAAAGCGAAACGTTGCTTAGCAACAAATCTACCGATTGTCATCAAACTTTTTCAAAAATGAGAACCCCAGGGATACTTGCGAATACAGGAAAAGCAAGCCGAACCAGCGCGTTGGGTGACCACCCACGTTCGGAAAACGCTTTTAACGGTCATATCATCGAGTATACAATCTACCATCGGAAGAGTTGACAG